TAAAAAAAAAAAAAAAAAAAAAAAAAGAAATCAGTCTTTGGCACATATAAACCTAAGACTTGTTCTGTTTTGAGACTTATTCCTACATTTTGTTATTTGTTAACATTTTATTCTTTGTAACATGCCATTCTTGAACAATTTCAGCTCTCAGACCAGTCCCAGGTCTGATCTACACATTCACCATCAACTCTATTTGATCATGTAGCCTGCCTGGACTAGCCATCTGGTGAAGTTTTATATGAAAAATTAAAGAAAACAGGATAAGATGAAGGTGGCAGAGAAAATGATTTTTTTCCTTATTAGAAGAGGGATAGTTATAACGAAGGAATATTCAAATTACCTTTCCATACTTCTGGGCATAGGATCCAGTAAGAAGGGAGTGGAAGATGATGATAGTTTCATCCAAGTCCCACAGAAATACCCGCTGAGGAAAGAAAATATTTAAAAAGAAGCATACTGAGTATCTTCCAATCACAATGAAATGAAATAGAAGAGAAGGAAAACTGGAAAATTCACAAATATGCAGGGATGAAATAATACAATCTTAACCAATAGGTCAAAGGGAAATCAGAAGTAAGATTAGAAAATATCTTGAAATGAGTGAAAATACAAACAATACTAAAACTTATAGGATACAGTGAAAATAGTACTAAAAGGAAGATTATAACTGTAAATGCATATATTAAAAAAGAAGAAAGTATGGAGTATGTTCTTTGCATAGGCAAGGCCAAGGGTTCAATTCCCAGTACCCAAAAGAAGAAAGATTTCAAGTCTATAACCACATAAACCTAAAGCTAGCAGAAGAAAGGAAATAAAAGTTAAAGTAGAGATAATTAAAATGGAGAACAGGAAGATAGGACCAAAAAGTCACTGAAACCAACAGTTAGTTCTCTGAAAAATTACCTACAAAACTGACAACCTTTAATGAGAGTGACTAGGGGAAAAAAGACACAAATTACTAAAATCAGAAATCAAAGTGGAGATATTCCTATCAATTTTGTGGACATAAAAAAGGGATTATGACCAAAATTATGAACCGTTATATGCCAACAAATTGCATAACCCAGATGAAATTGTCAAATTCCAGGAAATATACAACACAAAATAATTATACCAAACACTTAAGTAACAATTAACACCAATCTTGGCAGGCACGATAATGTATACCAATAATCCTAGCTGCTCAGAGTTCCAAGTGAGAGGCCAGCCTAAGGAATTTAATGAGACCTTATTTTAAAATAAAAAGGAATAAGGATGTAGCCCAGTGGTAGAGTACTCATCTAGCATGAGAGACCTTCGGTTCAATCCCTAGTACAGAGAAAAAAAACCCCAAATAAACAAAAGCCCCACCAGTCTTTCCTAAACTTCTTCCTCCCAAAACTGAAGAACATTTTTCTTTTTGGTACTAAGGAGCAAACTCAAGTCCACACTGAGCTACAGTGGTCTCAGTCTTGACACAGGGCTTCACTAACTCACTGTGATGCCCAGGTTGAACCTGAATTTATGAACCTCTTGTCTCAGCTTCCCAGAGTACTGGGATTACAAGTGTGCACCACCACACCTGGCAAGAGAGTACTTTTTAGTTCATGCAAAAGGTCAGCATTACCATGACACCAAAGCCAGACTATGATAAAACAAGAAAACTATGAGAACTTATAAAACTTTATCCCTTATGAAAACTGTTGTAAAAAGTCCACAAAATAGTAGCAAATCAAATTAAGCAGCATAATAAAATAATTATACATCATGCCAAAATGATTAGATCTTAGAAATGCATATATAGTTTATTCAAAATATAAAAATTAATCTGTAAAGGTGGGGAAAATTATCTCAACTGATAATGGAAAATGCATTTTAAAAATTCAACACTTTTTCATGACAAAAACAATAAACCAGTAGTAGAAAAGAACACTTTCAAGATGATAAAGTCTACCTATGAGAAATCCACAGCTACGATCATACCCAATTCTACTTCTAAAATCAGTAATAAGCAAGAATACTAGTTTTCACCACTTCTGTTCAACAGAATACTACAACAAATGCTAGCCAGAACAATTTACCAAGAAAAACAAAAAACAGGCCATCCTAATTGGAAAAGACAAAAACAAATTTTTTTTTTTTTTGGTGCCAGGGATTGAACTCGGGCCCTTGCACTTGCAAGGCAGGCAGCAGAACCACTGAGCCAAATCCCTGGCCCCTAGACCAAATAAATTTAATCAGTTTGCAGATTATATGACCTAACATACAGAAAATCTTAAAAACTTACAAAAATTATTAGAGTTAACAAATGCATTCAGGAATCAGTTTTATTTCTGGACAGGTGCAATGGATAACCTGAAAAAAATTTAAAAACAATACATAACATCAAAAAGAATTACTAAACACAAATTTAACCAAGGAAGCCAAAAGATTTGTATAGTACACAGAAAACCATAAAACACTGCTGAAGGAAATTAAAGATAGGCTTAAATAAATGAAAAGATATCTGTATTCAGGGACTTGAAGACTTAATCCAAACCAATCTACAAATTCAATGTAATCACCATCAAAATCCCCACAGTGTTTCTTCAAGTGTTAAAACTTGTCCTAAAACTTATATGGAATCTCAGTTGACCTCAAACAGCCAAAACACAGTCCTGAAAAAGAACAAATATGGAGGATTCACATTTCCTAATTTAAAAACTTACTGGGTTGGGGATGTGACTCAGTGGCATGGTGCTTGTGTGGCAAGTGCAAAGCACTGAGTTTGATTTCCAGTACCAAAAAAACCAAAAACCAAAACCAAACCCTACAAAAGCTTACTACAACATATCAGTAACCAAAACAGTGTGGTACTCATATAAATTCAGACATAAAGACCAATGGAATAGAACTGAGGGTAAAAATAAACACTCACAAATATGGTTAATTAATTTTTGACAAAGATTCCAAAATCATCCAAAAGGAAAAGGAAACTTTTTTGATTGTTTGTTTTTGTGATGCTGGAGATCAAAGCCAGGACTTCACACATGCTAGGCATGTGCTTTACTACTGAGCTATACTCCCCGATCAAGAAGGTCTTTTCAAGAAATGGTGCCGGGGGCAGGAGATTTAGCTCAGTGGCGCCACTGCCTGCGTCACAAGTGCAAGGTTCCAAGTTCAATCCTCAGAACCAAAAAAAAGAAATGGTGCTGGGAAAACTGGAAATCCACAAACAAATATACAAAGTTAGACTTTGCCATATACACAAAATTACCTCAGAATGAATCAAAGGCCTAAATTTAACAATAAACAATTAAAATCTTACAAGGAAACAGGTAAGAATCTCCATAATGTTGTATTCTTAGATGTAACATCAAAAGCAGAGCAATAAAAGACAAACACTGGATTTCACCAAAATTAATAACTTATATCCTCCAAAGGACACCGAGAATGACAAGACAACCCAATGGGGGCTCAGTAGGAGAGTGCCCGCTTACCATTGAGGCCCTGGGTTTGATTCTTAGCACCAGAAGTAAATAAATCACGAAAACAAGACAAAACAAACAAACAAAAAGAATGGGAGGAAAATATCTGTATATCACACATCTGATAAGGGATTAATAATCTAGGTTACATCAGCCCAACAACAACAAAAACCAATTCAAATTCAAAAATGGGCCAAAGATTTAAATAGCTATTTCTCCCAAGCAAATATATAAATGAGCAATAAGCACATGGAAAGATGCTCAATATTAGTCATTAAGGAAATGAAAATAAAAAACCACAATGTGATACCACTTCACACCCATTAGGATGGCTATCTACTATTTTAAAAAATGGGAAATAACAAGTGTCAGTAAGGATATGAATACACTATAACCTTTATATGTTGCTGGTGGGAATATAAAACAATAGAAAATTTTGGTGGCTCCTCCAAAAGCTGAACATAGAACATGATTCTGGAATTCCACAGGTATGTATAAAACCCAAAGAACTGAAACAATGGACCCAGCTGCACACCAGTGTTCAAAATAGCATTATTTGCAGTAGCCAAAAGGTGAACAGTCTCAAATGTCCTTGGACAGATGGAAAAAATGTGGCATCTGTGAGTGAGTGTGTCTTTGTGATTCAGCCAATGACAGGGATGAAATTCTGAAACATGCTAGTTTCATCTGCAGCTCCCCCTGCTTTCTGAATAAGAGCATTCATTGCTCTTTCTATTCTCTGGGACATGAGATAGTTTGTTCTGTTCCTTAAAAAGTTACCTGGCATCTAAATTCAGCAAAGCCTTCTCAGTACTTTGGTGAAAAGCAGCCAAAGGAGATATGGTAAGTTACAAACATGGAGAAAATTTCTTAATTTTTCCTTTTACCTAGCTAATTCAGTTTCTTTGCTTACAAATCAAAGGGCATACAACATAGATGCACATTATCTCCATGTATTTCAGACAGATGTTTGACAAACTTAAGAAGTGAAAAAACAGCTTGTTGCCTTTGCTACCATGTGTGCACCATGTTGTTTCTCCTCTGTGATGCTTGTTTGCCATCCCAGCCTCAGAGCCAGCCGATTATGGACTGAAACCTCTGAATTCCTGAGACCTCCCAGAAGATGCCTCTGATCACACCTGGGCAGCAGGACTTCATCGGGGATAACAGAAAGTCCAGGGTTAAGGTTGATGTGGTAGTGCACACCTGTAACCCAAGCACTGAGGAGGCTGAAGCAGGAAGATTGCTATGAGTTCAATGCCAGCCTGGACTACATAGAGTCTTTAAGACCAGTCTTAACTACGGTGAGACTCTATCTTAAAAAAAAAAAAAAAAAAAATGAGGGTAAGAACTTTTTTTTTAAACCCCAGCTGTCATGGTAGAAATACTTTCTTAAATATTAGAGATGGAGGAAACCTGAGAGGGATATTAGAACAGATCAAATGTTAACCCGTGGGAACACTCAGGGTTCCATTACCTTTGAAATGCTTGTGACTTTATTTGAAAAAATTCAAATGAGATGACAAGAAATGTCAAGATGTCCATTAAAACAAGAAAAGTGGACACATACTGTACTTGTTGAAGAAATACTTTGGCCAGTAACACACCCATTTCAACGTTATTTTTGGCAGTGAAAGATGTGAAAGAAACTGAAGCTCTGAAAGAAGGGATAAATTAAAACAGGTGCTGTTTTTGGTGTTATTACCCTGTTGGGCTGGGTGGGTAGTTCTCGCTCATGGAGGCTAACCTGTGTAGGACAATGCTTAGCATTTCTGTGACCTCCATCCACCAGACACCAGAAGAACTACCCTCAGTTACAACAACAAAAATCTCTCCAGACAGGACCAGATCAGACTTCTCCTGGGGAGCAAAATCACCCTTATTGAGAAACACAAAGTCTTGTAAATGTGTTGTATTAGTTTTCTAGAGCTGCCATAACAAATCATCACACACTAGGAATAGAGAAATGTACTTTCCTAGTTCTGGAGTCACTCAAAGTCCAAACTTGTAGCTATACTGCTTCCTTCTGAAGGTGCTAAGGGAGAATGTATTCCAAGCCTCTCACCCGGCTTTTGGGGGTTGCTGGGAACTCTTATTAGAGTACCTTGGCTTGTAGACTCAACCTTCTCACTGACTTCCCTCTTCAGAATGTTATATTCTGTCTTAGGTGTTTTGTGTCTAAATGTCCCCGATTTTTAATACAGACACCAATCACTGGATAAGGGACTATTCTAATCAGTGCTGCCTCATCTTAATTCTATCTGCCCTATTTCCCAATGAGGTTGTATTCACAGGTTAGGACTTGAGCATATCTTTTTTGAGGGACACAATCCAAACACAGCAAGAATATACCTTAAATGTCTCTAAATAATTTTGACTTTGCAGAGGTATCATTTAATTACTGATCATAGTTTTCATTTAGAAGTGGAGGCTTCACATGTGGATAGAGCATTTCTCAATTGTCCTTTCCAGGGGTGTACTGTGAAGTTACCTTGAACATGGATGCAAATGCTGTAGATAAGATATAGTGTCCTAGCTCTTTATATTGTGTGTGTCTTTTAACAGGCATTGAGTTTTGCAAAATTACAAAAAATGCTTTCTACTTTGATAAAAGTTGGGTATGGCTGGTGCTTCAAAACTTTTGTAGTTCTTGAAAGATGGGTGTGTGTATTTTATTTCAGTGTTGGTTTTAGGAGATAGTATTACCAGACCAAATCAGGAGAAACTTGTAATTGACATCTTGCTGATAAAGATGTGAAATATTTGAGCAAAAGCAATTCTAGGCAACAGAGACATGACAGGGGTATCACAATTCCCAACTTGAAACTATACCACAAAGCCACAGTGATAAAAACAGCATCATACTGGCAAAGAAACAGACCCCAGGATCAGTGGAATAGATTAGAAGATGAAGAAACAGCTCCAGACATACTCAGCTACCTCATCTTTGACAAAGGAGCCAACCATCCTCACTGGAAGAAAGATAGGCTCTTTAATAAATGGTGTTGGGAAAACTGGATTTCAACCTGTCAAAGACAAAAACTAGACCCCTATCTTTCACCATGCACTAAACTAAAATCGAAGTAGATTAAAGATCTAAATATTAAAACAGAAATACTAAACCTGCTGGAAGATAAGTTAGATAGAACTCTTGAAGACATTGTCATAGGAAAAGACTATGAACAAATCCTCAGTAGCATGGAAACTAGCACAATGAATCAACAACTGGGATCTCATCTTATTAAAAAGCTTCTGTACTGCAAGAGAAACCATTAACAGAGCTAGAGACAACCTGCAATGTGGGAAAATATTTTTACCAGCTGCTCCTCAGACAAAGGACTACTATCAAGAATACACAGAGAACTTTAAAAAATCAGACCCTCCCCCGCCGGGGCTGGGGATTTAGCTCAGTGGTTCCACCACCTGCCTTGCAAGTGTAGGGACCTGAGTTCGATCCCTGGTACAAAAAAAAAAAAAAAAAAAATTCAGACCCCCCTCCAAATTTAAAGACCCAACTCAAAACTGGGCATCTGAAATGAACAGACATTTCTCAGACAAAGAAGTAAAAGCAGCAAATAAACATTTGAAAAATGTTCAACATCACTGGTCATTTGAGAGATGTAGATGAAAACAACACTGAGATACTACCTCAACCCAGAAATAATGGCTGCTATCAAGAAATCAACCAATAATAAATGCTGGCAGGGTTGTGGGGAGAAAGGAACTCTTCTCCATTGTTGGTGGGAATGCACACTCGTGCAACCACTATGGAAATCAAGATGGAGATATCTCAAACAACTATGATTAGAGGTCCCATTTGACCTAGATATTTCTCTGCTGGGTATCTTCCCAAAAGAATTAAAAGAATCATACCACAGTGATATATGCTCATCCATGTTTATAGCAGCACAGTTTGTAACAGCTAAAGCTTGGAAACAGCCCAATTGTCCACCAACTGGAGACTGGATAAAGAACATGTGATTTAAAAAAAAATAAAATGGAGTACTACTCAGCCATAAAGAATGAGAAACTAGAGACATTTATAGCTAAGTGGATGCATATTGAGGCAATACTTTAAGTGAAATAAATAGGACACACATGTAAATACTGAATAGTTTCCCCAGTATGAGAAACTAAAAGTGTAATTAAGGATAAAAAAAATATATAATTGATAATGTGAAATAGGGAGAAAAGGTCAAACGGGGTAGGGGAAATGGAAGGGGTAGGGAAAAGAAAAGAAGGGAAAGGAAAAATATGAGAAAAGGAAAAAATTGAAAAAAGTCTTTGTAAATATGGAGGGGTAGAGGGGTTGAAAGGAGGGCAGAGGAATAGGTTCAAAATAGGAATCAATATGCATGTAAAGGCACAAGATCCCAATGATGAATGTGACTGTATTGTATACCTAAAATGTATCCATAAACTTTTTTTAAAAAGTGAAAAAAACAAAGCAAAAACCAAAACTCCAAAATCAACAACAACAAAAACCAAAATAGGTGACCCAAGTGAGTCTCTTCCCATACTTCCAATTCACTGTCCTGGGAAGAACTGGCATCAGCCTTCCTCTTGCCCCGGTTCTTGCCAGTCATGGTTTTCCTGGACTGATCATCAGCATCCTTACTTGGTATAGTCTGGGACAAGGATGGGCTTGTAGAAGGGTCTCCTGGAAAGGAAAAGCAGGACATATTGCCAGCAGTCACCAGCTATGAAAACCAGGGCAGGAAGAGAGTCGAGCAGGTTCTGTCCTTAGGAGTTATAATGCATGGATATAGCTTAGAAAACTAAATTTCATGTAAGCAATGTGGCAATGTAAATCTAGGCACTGAGCATCACTAGTGGCTCACATCATGAAGAGTCGTAACCAGACTTTAAACAAAAAACTATAAAGTTGTCTTCTGCTCTTTTTCAAATGAGTGAGATCTCACCATGCTGTCTAGGCTGGTATATCTGTGTGTGCATATAGACTGAACCCAGGAGTGCTGAGCTCCATCTCTAGCCCCAGAAGTCTTCATTTTGGGACAGGGTCTTGTTAAGTTCCTCAGGCTGGCTTTAAACTTGGGATCTTAAGCCTCAGTCTCCAGAGTAGCTAAGCTTACAGGATTATGCCATCATGGTTGGCGCAGGCTGGCCTCGAACTAGTGGGTTCAAATAATCCTCCTGTCTCAGTCTCCCAAGTAGCTTGCACTACCATCATATGCTACCACATCTGGCTTATAAAATTGTTTTGTTAAAAATGAACAACCACCCCCTGTCCAACCTGAATCTGCTCAAGCTTCTAGATAAAGGTTTGTCAACTTGGCACAGCAGACATTGTAGGCCAGGTAATTTTCTTGTTGAAGGGGATGTCTTGCGTACAGTAGTATGTTTAATGAAACAATATGCTTATCCTCCATTCACTGGGTGCCAGTAGCATCCCCTACCCAATGAGATGACCAAATAATGTTTCCACCCATTGCTAAATGTTCCCTGAAGGCAAAACTACCTTTAGTTGAAAACCACTACTCTAGACCCAAATTTATTTTAAAAATGCAACAAAAACCCTATAAAGACACAATCAGCAAAATTTAGACTGGGAAACAGTGTGGGACAAACAATCCAGTTTCTTCAACAAATAAGTTACAAGGGGGAAAAAAAAAAAAGAGATGAGGATTTATAGGTGAAGAGACATAAAACAGAATGTATACTCATTAATCACTGATATTTCCCCCCTCAAATTTTATATTTATTCATTGACTTATTTTTAAGTTGACAAAAACTATATCAGGTACATGTTATTTTGAGATATGTACCCAATGGGGAGTGGCTTATATCCAAATTTTAAAATGTAAAATGAAAAGCAAAACAACATTTGAAGAAGACTGTTAATATGAATAGTTTTGGTTTTTCTGACAGGATAACAGTATTATGGTATGCGAATGAGTACTTATACTTTTAGAGAACAATGTCTGAAATTTGGGCAAAGAATTAGACTGAATATAGCTAAAACAAGATTGCCTGTATGTGCTGGGGTGGTGGTACATGCCTGTAAGACCAGCACTCAGAAGGCTGAGGCAAGAGACCAAGGCCAGTCTGGGCTACATAGTGAGCTCAAGGCCAGCCTGAATTGTGTAGTGAGACCCTGCCTCAAAACTAAAACAAAAGCTGCCTGTAAATTGTTAATTGTTGAAGATAGATGGTGGATATATAAGGGTTCACTATACTATCATGACAGCACACTTTGTCATCCTTTTAGCATTATATAAGTTTGAAGCAATAAACATCTAAGACCGATAAGGACAAACTATAGACAATTTTAGTTATCGGCTGGGCGTGGTGGCACACGCCTGTAATCCCAGCACTCGGGAGGCTGAGGCAGGAGGATCGCTGTGAATTCAAGACCAGCCTGGGCTACATAGTGAGTTCCAGGTCAGTCTCAACTACATAGTGAGACCCTGTCTCAAAAAACCAAAAAAAAAAAAAAAAATTTTTTTTAGTTAACATAGAACTGTTTTTATACATGCATCATCAATGCAAATAAAGTGCCTTTCTTAACATGATAGCCAACCACCAAATTTTTATCAAATAGATATATATTAAAAAGTATGTGTACATGTTTATTAAATTTGTGTATAAAGTCATATGTGAAAGGTTTTTAACTGGAACATCATAAATGTACCTCAGAGCTGTGGAATCCCCTGAAATTATAGGTTAAATTTTATGTATTTCTTTGGAAAAAAGGACCATAGCTTTTCTCAGAATCCTAAAAGGATTCAAGATATAGAAAGAAGTACTATCTTGAAGCTCCAGCAGGAGTCCTAAGATATGCCTAGACTAAAATTGAAGTACTGGGCTGGGAATTTAGCTCAGTGGTTCCACTGCCTGCCTTGCAAGCAAAAGGTCCTGAGTCCGATCCTGGTAACAAACAAAAGAAAAGAAAATTGGAGTCCTTCAATTTTTACAAAATATGCCCAAATTTAGGGATTCCCTGTAACAGGCATGTTGAAGATATAGGAAGGCAGCATAGGGGTCAGAAATACAGTCTTTTCATTGCTAGTACTTTCCTGTTTTTAGCATCAGGCAGACATTCAGTTACAGTGACCCTACAGCCTGCTTCCAAATTTTAAATGCTCTGAACCAGAGGGGAAGCAAACAGAATAGACAGAGATTTATACCAGAACAAAATCATCCTTACCATCACCTGAAATCACTTGCTGGAGGAAGTGCCTTTAAACCAGTTTTGTGAGCTGTGGTACTTACCAGAGAGTCTCTGTGTTGCTGGTGCAGGTACCATGACACTAGGCTTCTCTGCCTGGTAGGTGGTAGCTGCTAGTGTGGAATTGTCAGCATCACTATTAGTCTGGCCGGTGACTCCAAAGCTGGAGCTGGGGTAGCAGGCCTGGTATTGATTCTGACCAAGAATAGTATAGGTGGGATAGTCCTGTAGGCCAAAGGGAATAAGGGAGGAAAAGAAGACTCTTAGAGGATGCCTTCATTTCTCCCTCTTATTTATAATTATTTTCTCAAATAGGGCTGGGATTTAGCTCAGCGGTGCTGCCACCTGCCTCATAAGTGCAAAGTCCTGAGTTCCATCCCTGGTACCTCCCCACAAATCGTACTTTCTTTGATTTGACTTAATTTCTTTACATCGATTTGACTTAATTACCTATGTAGTAGTCTCCCAATGAAACCAATATTGTCAAAATGCATTATGTGAAAACCTGAGTCCAGAGGAGATGCCTCAGGAGCTATCTTCAGGATGAGCGGCAGCTGGAGGGAAGGGTTGATCCAAATGTACATACAATGTCCTTTTCTCTAATAGGTCTTCCTCCCACCCCCAACTTTTATGCACTTAGTTTCTAAATAAATTTCTGCATAGAATTTTTGAAGGAAAGCTTCTACTCTTTAATAAATTTATAAATCACTGCTCTAGATAGTAGCAATTCTAAGGACAAACAAACTTTAAAAAGCACATCTCTTAAAATTTCCTAGTTTGGAGACAGATATTCATATGTGTTCTCTCTCAGGGCTGGGGATTTAGCTCAGTGGTTCCGCCACCTGCCTTGCAAACACAAGGGCCAGAGTTTGA